AAGGGAAATAAGAACTATTACAACAAATAACTATTAACACAATTCAATCCTTGATAATCTTTCGTATGATAATTCCCTTATAGTCATTTACATCTCTTAATGCTAGCACAGGATTCTGAAGTTGCCAAGCATAAGTTGCATGTAACTGAGCAGAAAGATCACAATCTCCCCGTATTGCTAGAAGAGTTTCAGGATGTGGAAGATGACAAAGTTCTTAACCATGAAGAGCCAAAATGTGCTAAAAATAATGTCCATTTGCATAATTAGTGATAAAATATAAGCCCATTTGCTATAAAGTAAGAAAATGGTTACAATGCCTGCTGTTGCTGTACAAAGGATTCCACAGAGAAAGAAACTTAAGTAATATATAATGAATGGCTCTTAAGGCCAATCATTTACTTTCCATTCTTAAATGTCTTTCACAATTGGTGGCGCTCATGAAATGTGATGTACTGACAGTCCTGGCGTCAGTCTATTGCAACAAATAGGGATGCTGATGTTTTCCCTTGATAAAGAAGACAAGCGTTCAGGGTCCAACATTTGTTGAGAATGTGCACTGTGCTGAATTTGCCACCAGGGAACCAGTTGGTGAATCAGTACCAAATAAAAACAATTGGTTCATGCTTGAGCCAGGTCCATAGAAACTGAAATCAATTTGTGAACATGAAGAATTTTAAAAGGCTCCGGTTTTGTGTTCAAAGTATAAATTTTTAATAATATCTTAAAATCAGTTAGAAATATGCTGCTGCTTAGTGCAAAAATAATGCCACCATTTCTTCAACTAGAAGGTGTGTTTCGTAAAAATAAAGCATATTTAATCTTCATTTTGTAGGTCAATAGTAACAATGGTCCTGATGTAACTGGTACATAAAGGTCGAAACTCATTTACTGCCTGGAAAATAGAAGAAATGTTCTTAATCAGAAAGCAGTGGGAAAATCCCTTACGGATTTTAATCTCGGGGTGCCTGGGTGGCTCAGTTGGTTAAGCCTCCAACTCTTGATTTAGGCTCAGGTCATCAACTCACAGCTGGTGAGATGAAGCCCTGCATCTGGCTCTGTGCTGTCAACACAGAGATCCTCTCTCTGCCTCTCCCCCACTCATGCTCAGGCTCTCTCTAAATAAATACATATTAAAAAAAATAATTTCAATCTCCCATAACCTGCCCTAGACAATAATGTATTAATTACTTGTGACTTTTTGTTATAATTAGCTAGAAATAATCAAGAAACAAAATGTCACTGGGGCACCTGGGTGACTCAGTTAAGCCTCTGACTTAGATCACGATCTCACAGGTTTGGGGTTCGAGCCCTGCATGGGGCTCTCTGCTGTCAGCAAAGAGTCTGCTTTGGATCCTCTGTCTTCTCTCTCCCTCTGCCCCTTGCCTGCTCACACTTTCTCTCCCAAAAATAAACATTAAAAAAAATAAATAAAAAAAAATTAAAAGGATTTTGCACTAAAGCTATATTCGTACTTTCAAAGGTGATAATTTCATTTTTTTATTCCATTCCTCCCAGAACTTAAGATGCAATGTAGTAATCTGCTTGATGCAATGAGTAATCTGCTCATAGGCCTTATTTACTCATTCAGTCTTTGTGTTTTAATTTACATTAGATATCTCAAAACTTGGAGGATATATTGAAAATGGTAGTTGGGTAGACAAATCTAAAAATGTTTGTAGGCTAATTTTATAACCCCTCTTTGGTAAAATGAATACAGGTAATAATTTTTGGTGTATACTTACTTATTTTACTTTCTTTGATCTGCACGCACAGTATGAAATCATAAAAGCCACAAACATCACCATGCCAACACTGAGTAAGGTAATTTCTACCAGGCCAAGAAGGTTGATTTTTCCAGTCACTCTTTTTCTAAACATTTCTGCCTTCTCATCACCAATGGTACCAGTCTGTAATAAAGTTAATGATTAACATGATTTGAATAGATGAGCAAAGCAAAAGACTTAAAACCTTCCACTTACATATCACTCTTTCCTCCAAATGCTTGCATAGGTGTTAGTCATCTGTATGTTTAAGATAAACTAGGATAATTCACTTTGCATGTCAAAGGCGGCAATAAATGCCAAGGTAGAATACTTAGTGAAATATAATCCTTCCCCCACTTTGCACATGTTATATAGCACTATTGAACATGATAGGCTTCACTGATCTTCAGAATGACCTTATAACATCCTTTCCAAAAGATGCTCCCTTTAAGTAGCAAGGTTTCAATAGTGTCAATCGCTCTGAAGTTTTATGTACTGCATTCCCCAATTCTGGGGCTAATTGATATCATGGTTTACACTAAAATTATGTCATCAGGGAATAGGATAGACTGCATACACCTATTCTAACCTGGCCTTTATAAGTTTGGTTGACTTTTATTACCAGTATAATATTCACTGAGTCTTGAGTTATTTGGAGTTACATGTATGTATGACTCTTTCTTAAAATAAGCACTATGCCAAGAAAAAGTGCCTAAAGATGCATTTTGAAAATAATCTAAAATGATAGAAATTGCTTTGATTTTCTAAAAGAAAAATACTGAAAACTGATACAACTATGTGATTGGGTTTTCTCAAATATATATATATATATATATATATATATATATATATATATATATATATATATATTTATCTATATGGGCAATGAAAACATATACAACTTCAAAAACTATACATATATATTTAATTTTGAAACACCAATGAAGTTTACTGTTTTTAATGACTGAGAGATAAAAATACTAACCTCATTAAGCCAAAGAATAGGCACAATATAGTTCCGCTTAAGACCCTTTAATGCCCTGTAATATACATTAAAAGTAATTATGAAAATATATACTAATATATTACACATACACAACAGAAATTTCAACAAGTACTAGTGTAAATATATGTTCAGAAATTAGTTGCTTTTGCAACTTGGTTAAGTTCCTTGATTTCTGTTCCCTGTAACAAGTCATTTGAATGTTAATATAGCTGTTCCTCAGACATTTTCCATGCTTACAAATCTGTTTAATACAGATATATAATTAGATTAACTTTTTCTAAGCACAGATTTTCCCTTTCAACAAATTCTACCCAGGAAGGTAAAATATGAATTCTGGAAACTATGGTCATAGAAGTATCTGGACAGCTAGCAAAATGAGAGATACCACCAAATACTTAAATTAAAACATATCAAAATATGTGTAAATATCATTTCTATAAACACTAGGCATAATTATAAATTTAAAAAATTATAAGCATTTAATAATTATTTAATGACATTAAGCAAAGAGAAGTTGAAATTTTATATTCTTTCCACTTCTTATAAGAATGTGTTAGTCTATGAAAAGAAAATACTACAAAAATCATGCAGTGATAACCTCACTTAAGAGACTTACTCAATTTTCTTTGCTGGTTTGACCAATATGTTGATTTGAAGCCGTTTTGCAAATCGTAAAGTGAATCCAGTTATCTAAAACGAGAACAAACTAATTACCAACTTTAAACAAAAAGTTGCAATATCCAAACTTACTTTTATTATTATGTAAAATTTAATATGACACTACTACTTGAAACTTGTGAAATTAATTGGACATATTAAATTATTACATATCTATAATTACATGTGTATATGCAGGCATATATATGTATGTGGGTATGTGCACACATAATGACTTTGTGCAACAAAATGTCAGGTCTTTAGTTAGATATGTGATATTTAACCAAATAGCTATCTATAATTACATGTGTATATGCAGGTATTGCATACACAATTTCTTTGCCCAACCAAATGTCAAGGTTTTAGTTAGATTTGTGATAGTTACCTAACATGGTTTTGGTAATCAGCAATATGGAAACACAGAGCTCATATAATTAGATTCTTAAACTACACAAGGCCAGATATATATTCAGTAAAAATCCATGTATCCTCAGTGTAAGTATACTAGTTGTATCATTATTTAAAGTGACACATGACTATTAAAATTTTGACATTTCATTTGACTTTTGAAGAGGAGAATATCAAAATCATTTAAAACTTTAAACTGTTGAGTTACAGGAATTTTTATTGATTTTTCTTGACCCTAAGTGAAATAGATCTTGCCCTGAATTCACATAATACCCATAAAATATCTTTTAATTCCTCATAATACACAGTATCTCTTCATATAAGCAGTATTTACAGTTATAAATTACTGTTTGATGATTATTTTATACATCTCAAATTGTTTTAAGCCAATTAGAATCATTCCCATCATTGGTATTCCTGACCTATGAACCATTAGATAGGCATATAAATTTCCATATGCTGAGAAACTGAAGTTTAATTACCTTGAAATTTCATAAGCAACAATAGAAAGAAATCAATGTCATTTTGACTGAAATAATAGTAATATATCAAGATTTTGATTCAGTAACTGCAATTAACAAGGAGAGAATTTACTTTTTCTTTCAATTTAATGAAATCAGATCAATAATATGTTTGCTTACAGGTTCAACATCTAAGTATGTGCTATGTTCGTCTTCATTTGGATTTAAGCCTTCAATGGGTTCTGCAATATCAGGACTTGCATGTAGAAAATGAGGAAGTGAAATATACACAGGTTTTCCTGAAAACATGTTAAGAGATATTGGAGATAAATAATTTTTCTCATTTCGCATACCACCCAAAAAATATTTCCTTAAAAATAAAACTTAAACTTTTTTTTAATGTTTATTCATTTTTGAAAGAGAGAGAGGGGCAGAGAGAGAGAGAGAGGAAGACACAGAATCAGAAGCAGGCTCCCGGCTCTGAGCTGTCCGCACAGGGCCCGACACAGGGCTCAAGCTCAGAAACTGCGAGATCATGACCTGAAATTAAGTCAGATGCTTAACCAATTGAGCCACTCAGGCAGCCCAAATATAAAAATTTTAAAATAAAAGAATGCATAACTAGGCTTGAACAATGATTGGGGAGTGAGGGTGGGGGAGAATTATATTACCTGATCACTATTGTACAAAAAGAAAATAAAAATTTATGCATCATCCTATTAAACAGTAAGTTAATGCCTGCTGTTCTTCCTTAGATGTCAATTTTCAATATGTAAAGATGAGCTGCTGAGCATAAAATTTCAGTCATGTTCTTGTTTCAGGCAGTAATAAGTCTGTGAACTGAGAATTAATTTAAGAGGTCTTCTTTTTTGCCTTCACATTGACTCCAGTATGAAGGTGAGCTAAATAAGATTCCAAGTTTTGTTTTTAAGTCAATTCTTCTTTCAGAGACATATTGAAAACATATTTTTATTTACCAATTTCTAGGGAAGAAAAATCTAGAAATATGGCAGATGGACAAGTTGGGATGTTCAAAGTACTCTAGGAATTATTCTTGTTTTACCATCTATTTGAAAGGAGCCCAGGAAACCAACAAAATGAAAAGCGTAACTGTGGAATGGATACAAGCCACATATTCAGTAAGTAGTTGATATAAAAAACATATAATGAATTCATAGAACTCAAAAAAAAAAAAAAAAAAAAACACCAGATAACAAAAAATGGGCTAAGGACCTAAATAGACATTGTCCAAAGTAGAAGGGAAATATCGGTATGGTTTTACCTAATAATAACTAAGTTTCACAACACTGGAACAAAACTGGGACCTCAAAAACAAAACAAAAATCAAAGCAAAATTATTCTATTACCACGCTTCCTTAACTGTCTTCTTGCTTTCTCGCTTTAATTTTAAATTTTGGTTGAAAGGGATCTTGGGTAAAAGTTGCATTTTTTTAAAAATGTTTATTTATTTATTTTGAGAGAGAGTGTGCGCACAAGCAAGTGGTGAAGGGGCACAGACAGAGAGGGAGACAGAGAATCCCAAGCAGACTTTGTCAGCACATAGCCCCACGAGGAGATCATCTCACAAACCTCAAGATCATGACCTTAGCCGAAATCAAGAGTCAGGTACTTAACTGACTGAGCCACCCAGGTGCCTCAAGGTTGCATTTTATTTTGTGTATTTTTTTCAGTGTTTATTACAGTTCTAGTTATTTAACATATAGTGTAAAACTGGTTTCAGGAGTAGAATTTAGTGATTCATCACTTACATATAACATCCAGTGCTCATCAAAGTGCCCTCCTGAATACTCATCACCTATTTAACCCATCCGCCATCCACTTCCCCTCCAGCAACCCTCAGTTTATTCTCTGTACATAAGAGTCTTTTTGGTTTGCCTCCCTTTCTTTTCTTGTCCCTTCCCATATGTTCATGTTTTGTTTCTTAAATTCCACATATGAGTGGAATGATACGGTATTTGTCTTTCCCTGATGAACTTATTTTGCTCTGCACAATACCCTCTAGCTCCATCCATAGCACTGCAAATGGCAAGATTTTACTCTTTCTGAAGGCCAACTAATATTTCATTGTATATATGTGTGTGTAAATGTCCATCTAATGATGAATGGATAAAGAAGTTGTGGTATGTGATATATCTTTATCCATTCATCAGTCGATGGATATTTGGGCTCTTTGCATAGTTTGACTATTGTTGATAATGATGCTATACACACTGGGGTGCATGTGCCCCTTCAAATTTGTATTTTTGTATCCTTTGGGTAAATACCTAGTAGTGCAATTGCTGGGCAATGGGGTAGTTCTATTTTTAACTTTTTTAAAAAAAGTTTTTTAATGTTTGTTTATTTTTGACAGAGAGAGAGAGTGAGTGAGTGAGAGAGGAGAGCATGCATGAGCAGGGGAGGGACAGAGAGAGGGGGAGACACAGAATTCAAAGCAGGCTCCGGGCTCTAGGCTGTTGGCACAGAGCCCGATGCGGGGCTCGAAACTCATGAACCATGAGATCATAATCTGAGTCAAAGTTGGATGCTTAACCAATCGAGTTACCCAAGACGCCCCTATTTTTTAACTTTTTGAAGAACCTCCAGACTGTTTTCCAGAGTGGCTGCACCAGTTTGTGTTCCCACCAACAGTGTAAGAGGGTTTCCCTTTCTCTGCATCCTCACCGACATCTGTTTCCTGTGTTGCTAATTTAGTCATTCTGATGAGTGTGAAGTGGTATCTCATGGTTTTGATTTGTATTTCCCTGATGATGCTCACTCATCATCAAGGCTTCAAATTATATCATGGACCGTGACACTGAGAACACTTACCTTCTTTGCATCTGCCAATGTCTAATACACCATATGATGTACAATTATTGGAGATAACGGTTTCTGTGCAGAAACAATGGTTATCTGGATTTTGAAGTGGAGATGCAAAGGCCATGGATGGAAGAACAAATCTATAGACAGGGATTCCTTTCAGGTTAATTTCAGCTCCAAACACAGCATAGATTGACCTAAACACAGAGAAAAAAGAGCTTTATTCCAGGAACCTAAACTACATTCTAGAGATTATTTTTTCCTCTTATTTGTACATTATATTATTGCTTTAAATAAGAAAGATTAGATACTTGGGGCGCCTGGTTGGCTCAGTCAGTTAAGCAATTGACTATGGCTCAGGTCATGATCTCGCAGTTTGTGGGTTTGAGCCCCACATCAGGCTCTGTGCTGACAGCTCCAACCCTGGAGTCTGCTTCATATTCTGTGTCTCCCTCTCTCTCTCTCTCTCTCTCTCTCTCTCTCTCTATGTCCCTCCTCTGCTCGTGCTCTCTCTGTCTCTCAAAAATAGATAAATGTTAAAAAAAATTAAAAGAAAGATTGGATACTCTTGTTAGAATTTTAAATCCTCATTTAATTCACATGAAGAAACTTTCTTGTGAAATTTTAAGGCATACAAGGACACAATACCTGAGCGTGAACTATTCTTTGTTCTCAAAAGCTTCCAAGAACAATTTTTGCTTATGTATTACCATGGATTATTTACACTGAAGATGCTTCTCATAGTTAATTTCCTCTGTAGATTAAATATTTATATGATTTCCCTCAAATCCTTTATTTGTGCCCAGGTTACATGAAATACAATTAAAATTTCTTTCTTTCAAAACTTAATCCTGGAGAGAAAGGCCACATACTCACTGAGGTACTTGCATGTGAATTCTTGATACACATCTCCTTATTTACTGAGTTGCCTCCATTGTTGACTTAGTATTCACCAACACCTAGGCAATGTGCGGGGGCTCTATACCTATTTCTTCTAATCCCCACATAACCCTATATGAAGAAACACTCCTCTCTTCAAATTTTACAGATAAGGAAAATACTGAGATATTTTAAATGTTTGCTCATAAACATATGATCTTTAGGAAAAGGGCTAAGAGTGAACTGGCGTGGGCTCCAATGCTTATGTGATATCTACTGGGTTCCACCGTTTTTAAAAGAGGCTGTTAATGTGACATTAACATAGTTCTGTGACAATGGCATCATCTTCTCTGGACAACATTAGAAAGATGGGGATGACCTTCTAGACATAATTGCTATTGAATATACTATTAGTTTAGTTTTTAAAAAAAAATAGTTCACGCTTAAAAATGAGAATAATTTGCATTATGTAAAATATCCTGCAGCCCTCAATTTTTAGAAAAGTTAATAAGCACATTATCAATTCCATATTGTATTTATCCTGAATAAATCAAGAAAAATTTCCCTATGTGTATTTTAGTCTTCTCAGAAAACATAATTATTAAGTATAAGCTTCTTGGTCTGTGCTTTGTCACGAGGAAAAAAAATTCTAAGTTACAGAAATACATTGGGCGTCTTGGTCTTACCTGCAAATGTCAGAAGAAAAGAAACGTAACACTCGCGTCTTCTCAACAAAAGGTGGAAATGAGGCTGCGTCTGTTCAAAAATCAAGCCAGTGGCAAGGGATTAGATGTAATTCGTATCCTAGAAAAATCTAGAAATCTCTATTCCAGTATGGTCAATAGAAATATAATGCAAACTGTAGATGTACTTTTTAAATTCTTTAGTAGCCAATTTCTTTTAGGAAAAAAACAAAACAAAACAGGTATATATTTTTTTAACCCAATGTATCTCAAATGCCATCATTTCAACATGTAATCGATCTAAAAATTAGCAAAATCCCATGTGTATTTTATATTTATAGCACATTTCAATTCCTTAATAGCAACACAGGGCTAGCAGCTACCATATTCAGCAAGTCTGTATATTATATATATTCATTGGTATTTACTTTCATGTTAAATTTTCCCACACCTTAAAAATAAATATTTACAAAAATAATAGCAAAATCACATGTTGTTAAAATTGTGATTGTGTTTGTTTTTTAAATAGCCCCACCCTTTAAGGAGAGTGGCACTTTTATTTCTATGAAATTCACTTAGGACTTCAGTTAGTTATGTTTTTCTTACATTTTATAGGGATTCATTCGTCTGTCCTAATGGTTGAGTAATATTTTAAAAATTTATTAAAATTCTCACTAGAATTTCCTCTAACTGCTTTGAAATATATCCATCACCTTACAAAAAGGATTTTGTTGTATTTATTGAATTTCTACTATGGTTATGATCCATGGAACACACTGGATATATGAAGAAATAACTTGATAACTCCTCTATTAGCTTCTCAAATAAGTATCACTAAAATGAGCCACAGAACTGAATGTGTTTGTTGTAAACAGTGCCCATCCTTCAATTACGCTTCAACCTTGTGATCTTATTACATTTCACTTATACTCTTGTGATCAATGAAATAGAATATTACAGTGAATTTGATTGTGGTATTGAGAGCATTGGATATTAGAGTTTAGTTTAAACTCCCCAGATAGGTGACTCAGTGGACATCATCTCCAACTGCCTTTCCAACACTTTAACCATTGAAGGAAAAGAATACATTAAAAAGCTGTAAGAATTATTACTGAAATATCATTGAAGATTATGCCATAATTATTTCTAACAAGTACCATGGAAATAAGTACAAGATTGCAGACTTTTTTTTTTAAACATTCAGATGTGTATCAATATTTTCATGTTCTGTCTCTTACTCACTGAAGGTGGAGGGGACACTTCTATACTATGACTTTTTCAGTTTTGTTGGTTGCTTTTCCCCGAGGCCATCAACCAAGAATCTCTCTCCCAGTGATCACATCTGAGTCCTCTGCTCTGTCCAATCTCCCTCTGATCCTCATTTGTTTTCCTTCTTTTTTCCTCTTAGAGACTTTTAACTTTATACCTGATGCTCATGTACTTATATTTTTGTGATTAATGAATCCTTTACCTCCCCTTTTAAAACTTTTTAGCTTTGGACAGAATTGTTTAATAGCTTTTTTTTTTTTCTTTTCTTTTCATTACCATTAAGAATCCATTACTATTAAGGAGCAATACAATCTGTTTCTCTGTATTTAAAGTCTGAAATACTACCCTTATGTAATTATTGGAGTTAGTAGTATTAGGACACTTGACAATTTGCAGAAATGCTTTGTTTAGGGATTTCTTGAAACTTGCTACAAAGCAAACTCAACCGTGTTTTTGCTGTTGTTTTCTAGAAGACAGTGGTAACAAAATTAAATAGGCATGTAAAGCTCAACAATACCTTTGGGAAAGTAAATACCCTGTGTTTTGTTCTTATTCCCCACCCTTTACATAACTTTGTATTTAA